TTTATGATTAATGGCTTATTGTTACAGAATGCGTGTTACAGGCTTTCTATAAGCTATTACTTAAATTTTAAGTCTTAAGTCATAAAAATTAATCAATCACAATCAAAGAAGAATAATCGATTATAATTGATCAATTTTTTTATTATCTTAGCTTAAGATTTAAAGCTTAGACAACTTATTGTAGAAAGCCCGTTATTAAAATTCAAGACTTTAGAGGTTAAAATATCTGTCATCCCAACTCGATACAGCTCTATGTATACATTCTGCTTTAATTACACAAATTCACTGTTTTAAAAACACAAAGTCAGTGCTTTACAAACACAAACTCACTGTTTTAAGCACAGAAATTCTTTGCATTAATAGCGAATTTGTGTTTGTAAAACCTATTCTACAATGTGCTCTGTTTCCTGTTTCTTACTTTTTGCCTCTTGCTTCTTCCCCCTTTCCAATCATTTTATCAACGATGATATTTCTTGCTACGTGTTTCCTGTTTCTTCCAAAGTTCATTAAGGCCAATTCTACAATGTGCTTTGTTTTCTATTTCTTGCTGTTTGTCTCTTGATTTATCTGTCTTATTGATCAAAAAGGCAAAAGACAGAGACACACAGCAAGAAACAGGAAACAAAGAGCATATTGTAGAATTAGCCTAATTTTTATCTTGGGCGACACAAAACAAAAAACCAAATAAAAAACAAAAAGACATAAAAGAGATATAAAAGATATAAAACATAACAAAAAGCAAGAAACAGAAAACATAAAGCACATTATAATAAACTAACCATAAAGCAGTAAATTTATGTTTTTTAAAGCAGTGAATTGTGTTTTTAAAGCGGTGAATTTGTATTTTTAAAGGAATGAATTTGTATAATTAAAGCAAAACATATACATGGATGATCGAGCTAAATCGAAGTTCCGATAGCTGTGTCAAAAATATTCTTTTTAGTTACAAGATTGGTAGTGCTGTAACTAGCTGTGTTCCGTAAAGCCGGTTCTACATTAGTTGCCAGCTGATCGCAAGTTTGTTGCGACAAACCAATATGAAGCGTTGATTTAAAAATGTAAGATTGCTTCAGATTGGCTATCGCAACAAACTTGTGATCAGTTTGCAACTAATGTAGAATCGGCATAAGAGATCAGCTACATCATAGTTTCCATTTGTTAGTCAAGAGGTCGATTGTGTATCTTTGTTAACTTTCCTCACCTCTCGTACTTTCATCTCATATGAAAAAATACGCACGATTGGCTATAAACATAGTGAAAATGTGATATTTCTAAGCTCTAGAGTGAAAATTACAGATGCGAGTTGAATGTGTAGCATAACCTTAATTGTAGAAAATGATAAGAAAGTTTTGAATTCTAATCCCTTCTTCTACTGCAATCGCTATATCCAAAATTATATCGTATTTTCCAAAAATGAGCTAGAATTGTGAGAGCTAACGTTTCAATTGCATGAACACAAAATGAATGTTACAGAAAAGCAGAAGGAAATATTGATATAATTTATAGAACAGTAACCTGACTTTGATCGTGATCGTTTAAAATATAACAAGGAAAATAAACGAAAAATTGTAAGTATTATGATTATTAATCGTATTTCTTACAAATATGTTTCTATAAATAATATTCTTATAAGTTTTGTTTTTTATATATGTCATTTGAATTCAATATTCAAATATTTTAAAACATTTTTAGGAACATTGAAAAAAAATTATCATCTTTAAACACATCATATGGACCATGTAAATCAGCAAAAAAATGGATTAAATTAATTTTGATTTATATATATATATATA